GCATTGTGACATGTCGCGAACTTTTCGATACGACAAGATCCCCGTTGCTGGTCCCATGGCAACAAAGGCACAAGCAATTCCCCTCAAACTCTGACTCTAGATTTGCAATTGTGGAGAGGAGACGTACTCGCAATAGCAGTCCAATTGTCGAAGCACTACTGTCAGCATTATTCCGTCCATCTTTATGCAGCATGCGGGCGAAGTTCAGCAAAATTCAGTTTCTGCCAGTGGCGCAAACTCAATTGACGGGTCATCGACCCCAAGCCATGGCCCTATTTACCTGCCTGCGCCAATCGAACACTCCCCTTTCCGTTGTCGCGGCTCTAATTGTTGCCGATGTGGCTTCCCACCTATGATCAACCGTGGAACGTGAAATGCCCAATGCTCTGGAGGGGTGGAGGGGCAAAAGATGGGTGCGCCGATCGTGTAACGGAACGAGGTAGCCAAAGTGCAATGATGCACTCACGTGGCACCGCTTCCCCATGATCGTCATTGGCTTATAACGATCAACACCACTCTATTGACACCTCATCGATTTTGGCATAGTGAGAAGTACAGAGTAGTATCTGTTCTATGAGACACGCGGGTTCTATTCGTAACGGTTTTGTCATACAATCGTCCCGCAGTAGGCGAGTGAAACCAATAACTCATTTATGGATACACAGCATTTGCATCGGAACCAACATGAGCCGTGAAATAAGCCCCTTCTTTCCATTCAGATAAGGGGAAGGTATCTAAACGCTATGAGAAGCACACCCCTACACTTCAGTTCCGGTAGGTAATCGTCTTGGTCCTCACCCACTCGTCCAGGCCAGAGGAGCCGAACCTGCCAAACCCGCTCGACTTGACGCCGCCGTGGGGCAGACCAGGCTCGTCGTGGACAGTCATGTTGTTGATGTGGACGGCACCCGACTCAATTTCCTTTGCGAAGCGGAGACCTGTCCGCAGATCCTCCGTGAAGACGGCAGATGTCAGGCCGTACTCTGTGTCGTTGGCGAGCTTGATCGCCTCCTCCTCGGTCTCTACCTCGAAGAGCGCCACGGAGGGACCGAAAGACTCCGTCTTGTAAATGTCCATGTCGGTTGTGACGTTCTTGATGACGATGGGCCTCAGTCTTGTCTTTGACGTCTGCTCAGCGTCAACGTCGCCGGCAACGAGGGCAGCGCCTTTGCCGACGGCATCCTTGACAAGCTTCTTGTTCTTCTCAACGGCCACTGCGTTGATGAGAACAGGCGCATCGGATTGCGACGGGAAAATCTTCTCAATCGAAGCTGACAGCTTCGACTGGAACTGTTCGCTGATCTTCTTGTGGACAATGATACGCTCCGTGCTCATACAAATTTGCCCTCCGTGTAGGAAAGAGCCGACTGCGCACTGGTCTGCGGCCAGCTCGAGGTTGGCGTCATCCCACACGATGGCCGGGGCCTTGCCTCCCAGCTCCAACAGTACTGGCTTCAGGTTCTCGCCTGCCAGCTTTGCGATGATGCGGCCGACGCCTGTGCTGCCGGTGAAGTTGATCTTCTTGACCTCAGGGTGAGCGATCAGCGATGATGTGATTGCAGCAGCGTTGGCGGGCTCGTGAACAATCACGTTCAAAACACCCTTGGGCAAGCCGGCTTCGTGGAAGCAGGAGACCATTTCAACCAGGGTTCGAGGGGAGAACTCTGAAGCCTTGAGAATAGCAGTGTTGCCAGCGGCAATGGGAAATGCTATTGACCTTGCTCCCAAGATGTACGGGGCGTTCCTGCTTAGGTGTTAGCTGTCTAATCACTCACAAGTATAAATGGTGTACTGACCAAGGGGCAATGGCGAGGACGACTCCGTAGGGTTCCTTGAGGACCATGGCGCTCACATTCGGATCATTGGTAGTTGGAAGAGAGCCCTGGATGGTGAGGAGGCGTCCGCCGACGTCTTTGAGACAGCCAATGCCCAGACCCAAAATGAACTCTGACCAGCCTGCAGCAGCACCTGTCTCTTCAGACATGACGCGGGCCAATTCTTCCTTCCGAGACTCCATGATGGCAGCAGCCTTGAGGAAGATCTCCTGACGTTGGCCGAGCGTGGTCTTCTTCCAGCTTTTGAAGGCTTTGGCTGCAGAATCAACTGCGGCCAAAGCATCTTCCTCAGTTGCGCTTCCGCACTTGTGAATGACCTTTCCGGTAGCAGGCGACACAACGTCAAAGGTTTTTTTTGCGATGACCTTTTCTCCATCCAAGAAGAAGGGAACAGTGTAGTCCCCAGCTGGGGCGTCACCATTTGTTTGTGTCGACATGGCTTGGAAACAGTATGAGAAATCGAACCGAGAATCTTGATAAGGGGTATCGGAACTGAGGTAAGGTAGATGGAGGTATTGGAGGGCACGCAGGTAAGATAGGTTCGCAGGCAGTCAAATGCGAATCAAATTCAGCTGAGCATCAGATTCTTATACTGCTGTGAAAGGTAGCCACCCGACCTACGTGGAACACTTTGTTAATTCCAAACCCATGCCCTTTTCGATATGCCGATGGTCAACGCCACGCCCTCTAGTGCCCGGAACCCCGCACGCGGAAAGTGGACGCGGGGAGAAACTCTGAGACGACCTGACTAGGGAAATGCTCACCCTCAATCCTTCGAAACCAATTCTACCAATTGCTTTGAAATCTGAGTATGAAGCTGGCTTATGTCCCCCGTTTCACCCCAGTTGGAGTGGGCAGGGTGGGTCGGTCCCGGGCAGGGAACCGGAGAGTGGATACTGCCCTTCTCGCCCAGTCGAGCAGCATCCCCGGCCGATAGCTCACATCGTGCTGGCGGGCTTCGCGGGAAGTGCTTGGGAATTGGGACTTTGGGAGTTGGAACTTTGTTCAGATGTGAGACTTTAGCGTCCTGTGCGCAGTCGCGAATCCTGTCGTACTCAAGACAGTGACAGTGATGCAGTAAACCCAATCCTAATTATCCGTCCCTGGTTGAATTCCAAATTTGAGATGAAAGTTGTGGCGGAATCTCTGTGCGATAATACCGATCTGACCGGACGAGGGACTGTTGCAACTCCAAATCCGAGGACTTGGCCCCACGTAAATCCCGACGTTCATCAGTCTTCCTTGAAGAGTGGATCATGGCCAAGCAGGTCTCAAGCCGAACGGTCCTAAGACCAGACACCGGATCGGACCCCAGAGTGGTCGAGATTGAGTCGCGGGGAGGATTTCTGGGGTTTTGAGATGCCGGCCACAGTTACCGGAGCGCACGCGTACCCATCTTTCCCCAACTTTATTTACTAGAGCGCCTCGAGTTTGACAGACGGCGGCGGGCAAAGGCACATGCTTTGTTGCCGGGCCTAAAAAGGTTCCGGAACAGCCACCTAGCGCTCGGATCCGGGATGAAGCATCTCTGCCAAGACAGTGATGGACAGTCGTGATCCCGAAAGTGCATACGATTTGATCGGGTTCGAGTTTCTAGAGAAACACTTGATGCGACGCAGAGATCAAGGCCTATCACTCCATTTTTGAAAGACAGCCGGGTCGATAAAGGGTTGCAGTGTAGCCGTTGAGTCTACTTGGAGAACATCGACTGCAAGAATGATCAGTTCCGACCTGAGTGACTCGACGGTTATTGAGGAATAAAGCCTCGCTCACCTTGCTTAGGCCGTGATCCCGGCATGACGAACTGGACGTCACGAACCCCCTTTGAGTTTTCGGTGTAAGAACCGCGTCCCTGATAGACGGCGGGCAGTGCCAGCCCGACTTTAACAGGCGCTTTGGGCGCTTTCTTGGCTTCGGATTCGGGCATTGCTACAACTTGTACGGATAGGTGGTGATGTGATGTGGGCGATAATGAAGATGAGCAGTTAAGAAAGGGAATGACGACTGGGAAGGAAAGCAATTTTCAATTCTTGGGTACCAGCGGGTCAGTCTCTCCACGTAATTTTCCAGGTACGAGTGTTCGTCTGATCATGAGCTTCTTCGGCAGGTTAATCTTGAGTTTCTGTCACGCTCACGGCAGGAAGGAAGGGCCAAAGGCGTGCAGCAGCAACTGCATACTGCACCTGCCCATCCCATGGTCGCAATATGTGATTAGTCACAGTCCCACGCCTTTTGACTTCAGAGCAGCCACTCAGGCTGGCGCTCACCTGCCTGATGGCCCAATTTTCACCTAGAATTTCCACTTTTGGGTTTTCTGTCTTGTCATCAATGGAGACTTGCTCTTGGCTACTCTACCTTTGCAGTGGACAGCGTGGGAACAGGTCCCCAGATGCAGGGCAAGTGAGGGTGGATAAAGGCAGAGAAAGAGGACGATATCGGACCAGCAGCTATCTTCAATATCGACTTTGGCTATCTTTGTCAATTCGGATTGCTATCTCCTGCGTCGGAGGCTTGGAAGTTGGGGTGCCGGGGAGTATCCCGCCTGTCTGTGCACTATTCTGACAGCAGCCAGGGCACGGTCTGGGCAGATTGGTAGAGCAAGAACAAACAAGAACCGGTACAAGTCGGGTCCAAGTTCCCGATGCGCCTTTCCTGGTTAGGCAGTTGTCATGTGTAAACTGGTAGAATTGCTCAGTGCTCTCACAGACTCTCTCACTCACCCCGCCCGCTGCAGAAGCACAGAAGGTGAAGGGCGGGGAAACTGCAGATCGAGCCAGCCAATGGGATGACAACTCCCAGCCATTCACCCCCGTTGGTCCCCCTCCAAAAGTCCAACGGCTGGGCAGGCGCAACGAGGTCCCCTTCCACCTTCCCACTGCAAATCTTGCCTCGCTCCTCAGGTCAAAAATCAACCTTCTTCCCCGCCCTCCGCATTCGGCCGCGCCAGCTCCCACCTCACATCAACAATTCCAACACGCACGTCGCGACACCGGACCGCCGCCCCAGTGACGCTCGCTCACCGTCCAGGACATCTCCGATTGCCGAGTCCTTCCTGCGAGCTCCGTTCGCACCTCACACCACGCCCGGCCCGGGAGGGGTCACCCGCGCCCGCCTGTGCCGTGTCTTGTCTTGTCTCACCGCGACTGACCGTCCCCCGTGCCCTGCATGGACGTCGTCTCTGCCGGCGGGGCGACGCCCGTCTCGCCCACAAGTCCCATGAGCGCCCGCCATGCGCCCAATGGGCCTCCCAAGAGGAAGCACAGCAGCATGGCCCTCGATAGCAGTCCGGGCAGTAATGCCGGTCACGACGATGACAATGGCGAGCCTGATTCCAAAAAGCGCCAGCCCGGCGTCAAGCGCGCATGTAACGAGTGCCGGCAACAGAAAGTGAGTCAACCCACCGGCCAGAATCATGACATGAGTCACCCCTGCTAACCAAGCTTCCTCTGAAATAGTTGCGATGCGATGTTGTTCAAGACCCTTTCCAGAGCTGTTCACGGTGTAACCGCCTCAAGCTGTCCTGTAAGATTGAGTCCAACTTCAAGCGCATAGGCAAGCGGTCGAAGCACGCCGAGATGGAAAAGGAAATCGACAGGTTGCGACGCAACATTGCACGCGCCCAAAATCAGGGTTACACTGTCGACGAGGACGAACAAGATCTCCAATCCCCGGTTGCGACAAGCGTGTACACACACACTAGAAACCCTTCCCTGATGGGCTCTGACGAGGCTGTATCCTCGCTGTTGCACCTCAAGAGGGGAGGGTCGTACAGTCTACCACGCTACACTCACGAGCTGGAGAACGTACGCCTGACCGAGGAGTCAGTAAATCAGCTTTTCAGCCAATTCTTCGCATACTATCACCCTTTTTTGCCTTTCCTCAACCCGCAACAGACGCCTGATCAGTACTTCCAACAACACGCCCTTCTGTTTTGGTCAATCATATCAGTTGCTGCTCGCCGGTATAGCGCAGATACTACGTTGTTGACCTCGATATCTGGACCTCTGACCAGATTGCTGTGGTCAACGATTGGGGATGTTCCCAGCAGCTACTTTGTCGTCAAAGCTTTGTGTCTGTTATGCACTTGGCCTCTACCGACAAGCACGACAAGTGCTGACCCTACGCACATTCTTTGTGGTGTGATGATGAAGGTTGCGACGGGCATTGGCCTTCACAGACCAAACCACAGTCAAGACTTCTCGAGGGTATCAGTCGACCTCAACAAAGAGCAGCTGCATGACCGTGTGTCAACGTGGGCTGTCTGCAATATTGTAGCTCAGACTATTGGTACTGGCTACGGCCAACCAGCATCGACCCTGTATGACTGGACTTTGGCCGTTAGACGAGGCGAAGATGGTCCCTTCCGATTGACGCCCGAATTGGAAGCTAGACTCCAAGTCGAAAGGTTCTGCGACAAGGTGTCCAAGGAAATGTATAGCAACGCTAGTGATCCTCGTGGGGTCGCGGGTGATGAACATCGAGCCATGTTGATGAGAGTCTACAGAAAGGACTTCAACGAACTTCAGGCATCCGTCCTCTCGCAGCATCTGGGGCCAATCGTCAACTTACATATGCGAGCCGCAGCACTCCATTTGCGCCTGGCTGGCTTCTTTGACTCGAGTACCACGCCTGGCTACATCGATGATTTAATGGGCCTCTGGAGGGCAACCACAAGCTTCTTGGATAACATCCTTGAGGTCGACAAGGTCACATCGCCCGGACAAAACTCTCCCGGGCAAATTCTGCTCTATGCGACAAACTACATCCAGCAGATGTTGATTGCGGCTGGTTTTGCCTTACTCAAGCTCATGCGGTCTTTCTTTGCCAAAACGATTGATTTCGATCGTGGCCGCAACCTCTTCCACCAAACCATCAACGCCATCCGCGCTACGAGCGTCGTGAATAACGATCTGCAGTGGCGTCTAGCAGAGCTAATGGTGCAAATGTGGAACGGAGCTCGACTCGATAACAACAGCACGGCCTCCTACGACAACGACGATTCACCACTACTCATTGACGATACCTTGCAGCTCAAGGTGCGCTGCCGCCATAGCATGAGTCTTGTATTCGACTCTGTCTGGCGATGGAGGGAAGAATACCAAGCCCAAGGGAGAGGTTCAATTGATGGTAATTATAAAGCTCTATCCCCTTCCCACCCAGTGCTCGAGCCATTGCATCCACGTCTCTCTTCGGTGTGACTGTGATGACTGACCTACGTGCCACCCGAAATAGCCATGAAACAACCTACTAATCCAGACTCAGCGAACGAGTCCTCAGCGTCATCGACCCATTTGGACAGCACTCTCATGCCGGCAACCCAAGGACTGCAAGCGAACAGCTTGCTCGCTGCCAATGGAGCCCTCACTCCTGGTAACTCTGGCGGGATCGGCAGTCAACCACCCAGCAACAGCATGCTGAGTGGCATGTCTTACGGCGAGACCAACTACGATTTCTTCGACCCACAGCATTGGATGCTGGACGGTCTCTTGGACTTCAATTACAACTTTGTGCAACCTCTTGAGGGTGCATAGAAGTCGCCAGAGACACGATATGGGAGAGCCACTGCATTATATCAAGCCCACAGGAGTGCGAAAAGAAGAAAGAACGCATACGTGGGGGCGAGTTTCAAGATCAGCAAACAAGCGGCGGACAGCTCGATCACAGCTTGCTAGAAAGGAGTGAGTGAATGCCCCTTCGGCAGACGTTGTATTAGGCCCTTCCGTTGGGGTCCGGGGATGAGTGACTAGGTTTGCAGCTCTTAGCGATCCTTCCATGCTCCGAGGTGCGCGACATCACTGCTTTGCGACTGCATTGCAACCGGATATATTTGGACCAGCGAAAGACGGAAATCTTTCTATTACGTTTATACACCTGCTTTTGCCATTGGTATCCCAGAATGGAAGCTCTCGACCAACAAGCGATTCTCGTTGGTATACTACACTTATTGCCTCATTTTTCTACATCGGGTTTCCTAGCACAGTCTGTTGATGACGGTATAATCACGCGTATATTCGACAATGAGCTCCACGACATGATCAGGCGACATCGGGTTGCGGCTTCGGTTTCGGCGGTCGTTTTGTACGTTTTCATTTCTTTCCTCGGAGGCTCTAGTGTCTTGTTTCTTTTTTTTCTCCTTTCTGGGATTGTCAAAGCATTGGCAATAGCGGGTGAGGTGTAGGTTTCTTTTTCATGGGCACACACTTGCGCAAAAGAACGATGTGATTAGCTGTAGCTTTGTTTGAGTTTCCGAAATAAACAAGATTAATTCAAGCATGCTTTGCTATACTACACAGCTTCTGATGCTTGTGTCTGAAAAGTAATAAAACAGACAGCATTGACATGTGTAACGACTGGCCTCTGAATTCCTCGCGCGTTACTTCGAAGGTGAAGATTTTCTAAGTCAACTTTGGTCAACTTGGGATCTCAAAATGCCACCTCCAGAATCACAACGGATGACTGAGCTAGAGTTGTGACGTATGTCTAGGCAGGAGTCAGTCTTCCGATGATGACCCCTCTGGATCTACTTCAAACTGGGGACAATCATGACCTCATGGACACCGAGGCTGTACACAATCCGTAGCAAGGCATAGTCACATCCTCCCCGGTGGGAACTCTACATGTGAATCAACCGTCCCCGAAGTGCTGTCAAGCGTGATAGGCATCAGCGGGCATCAGCAGGCGAACAACCTCACGTCAGTGGCCCCATTCAAACCCCTATGTCAGAAACGCAATTTTGGGGGGGGGGGGGGGTGATATCCCTTCCAGCTCTGCTCTACGGCTAGGAAGTGGACGAACGATGATCACGATGACGATGGATATGGGCATGTTCGCGTGAATGATAGGTCCAGTCCTGGGAGTATTTGGATTCCCAATCATCACATGGAGCAATGAGAGTCACATTGGAGCGGATATCGAGAGAAAGTCCGAGGAGTCTCTTCCCCCCCCCTTTGCCTCGTAAAGGACTCCATTGACAAAGGAGATTGAAGTCTTTCAAAGTAGCTCGGAGGTAGCTCCTATTCGCTGGAGAGCCGCGGGTCGCGTATGTGACGGCCCAACAGGCTGATGTATGACGGTATAGTCATACTCGCCGGGTTCCTCTTACGTTCGTTCGACGGCCGCAAGTGGCCGTAACGGCGCGGCGGTGGGGAGAAACGGCAAGCAAGTATCTGACGATTGTGACATTCTCCGCCCTGCTGAAGGGGGTATCATCGAAGAGCCAAGGAGTCAAGGAGGGCTCTGGCTTTGTATCTTGTATCGGTACAAGCTTGACAAGTATCTTCTTTCTCGAGGTGTTGGGAACATCCCATCGTCGCTTGTTTCATCGTTGAGAAAGGAATCGTAGGGCTGGCAAGAGGGGCGAGATGATGGGTTGATGGAGTGAAGGGGAGGGGGGCCATGGTTCGCTTGGACGAGACGAGGACGTTCGTCCGGTATCTCCATCATGGTAGAGACTAGAGAGATGCCTTCTTTTCACTCCCCGTCGAATTGAAAGTCGACGACAGACAGTGGTTTCCCCCGGTCTAGACGCACACCTTTCGTCTACTTTGTCAACTTTCCACTCACATGATAAGGGGGGGGGGGGCCAAGAGGTGACAAGAGAATCGAACTAGGGCGAAGGCGTGGGGTATGTTGGTCTAGCTGCTCTGATTCGCCGTGTTCTCATTTTCGTTCGCTCGGCCTCGCCCCTGTGACTGAGGCCGTTTCGGTCTGGCGAAGGGATCGATATCAGGCACAATATCAGGCAAAAGAGTCATCATGGAAAGGGGACGAATCATTGCACGTTACCCGAGGGTGATGGCATCCTAGCCTGGCGAACAAAGAACCAGTCATGATGGACTTTACCGACAGCCTGCGGTAAACGTTGGCCAGACGTCTCTGTCTCTCTCGTGGTTCTGCGCCGCTCGTGGTAGCGGGAGTGGCGGCCGGGATTAACCTTAGATTGTGGCGGGCTGCGTCTTGTCTGGCTACTATTCTCGATCGCGTGGAGGAAGAAAGGGGGGGAATGGGGCTGTCGAGTGGATGCGGAAACGATGGCTTCGAGTGTGTGTAACGTAGTTGATGGGACGTCTGCGCTTGTTTGATGCTTGTGGATACGAAAGGAGAAGAAGATGACAGCTTCCTGGTGCGCTTCCGTCGTCTATAGTTGGTCGGACCACGAAGAGGCTGTTCTTTCTTCTGCTTTGGGCGTGGTGGGAGGTCGTTGGGGGCTGTTTGGTGTTGGTGTTGTTGGTTAATGGCGTTTCTTTCCCACGCAGAAGGGCTTCACAGCCTCACACGTGGGGCACGGCGCTCCGCCACTTGGAACGCTTTTTACCGCAAGATAGGAATAGGGTAGAATACGAAATAGAAACAAGTGCGACAAGAAGTTGGCATGTCGTTTTGAATGCCTTGTTCCTGCAGACAAGCTGAAGAGAGTGCCCGTTTGACCGCTGAAGCGGCGCAGCCGCAGTTTCGGGAATGCTGTAGATGCGGAAGAGGAGGATTGCAGAAAATAGCAGAGGATTCTGCACCCCGACATCAGCTCCAATACTGCGGCCGAAATATTGGGGTGCAGAAAGAGACTTCAAAGGCCTCAACACGTATGTACTGGGGGGCTGTCGGCGATGACCACTCGGGCACCCTAATACGCCCTCACGATAGCTTCTGAACTCGACCACGAAAACTGTACACTTCTGGATTGTGCATCTAAACTTCTTCTTGGCAGCGAGTTCGTCTTCGCCGATTACCGGAGTCGCCGGGGCAGCAAGGAGGGGGCTTCGCAGGCACTTGGCCGCCTTTTCGGGCCTCTGTTGTGGCCTTGTGGATTGACGACCAGTCAAAACAACGGATCGATGAGCTATAAGGTAGAAGGCCAAATCGAAAGAGAATGCCTCGCGAGGCGTTATCCTCTACCAAGAACAACATCACCCAATATCCGTCACCAGACTGTGCCGAAGTAACCATCTTCGTTCAACGAGGGGTAGTATCCGTAGTGATGACCAGTTCAGTGCTGGGAGTGGGCCAGACTGGAAATTGACTCAACACCGCCCTGCCCACAACTCGAGATCAGATGAGAGAGCTTTTCCTGGTAATGTACACTCGAGCTTCTTGTCCAGATTAGAGTGCTGATTATCCCCACAAAGGCGTAGCGAGAGCGCGCACACCAGCAGCGGCTTTTGAAACGACCGGCGCAATCGTTACGGCCGATGCTTGTAGCCTCGCAGTCAACGGCTCGGGTAGAAACATGTAATTGAATAGAGATGAGCAGTATTGGGGCTGAAATTAATTGCCGAAGGATTCGAGATGCTTTGCTTCCCCTCTTCGTACCCCCATCCTGCATATGGATGAGGTCGTGGTAGTGGTGGTGGCGGCTGCGCCTTTTGCGAATCTTTCAGACCATTGTCTGTTTCGACATTACCACGCAACCACAAAGCTTGACCCTGGAAAGGGGGGCAGAAGGGATTTCTTTCATTCCCTGGGGACCGTTTTGCCGCTGTTCCAGATGCGACATGGAGAAAAGTGTTCTTACGGGCGCAACCGGCGGAGGGCCTAACGCCCGCCTTTGTCCACACTGGACCACTCATGGCAGCTCTTCCACAGAACCACCGCGGCTTCCAGCATGTCCACCCCCTCTCCTGAACGGCGAAGTCCCGGAGAATGGCAATCCATGGCAACTGCAGAACCTCGTCACGCCGCGGACCGGTTCTGCCGTCCATGATTCGCGGGAGCCGGGGGGGGGATGGCGACTGCAGGTTAAAGAGGACCACCATCACTGAAGATGGGTGGTTTGCTTCGTTTCTCCAATCGCTGACGAGCAGGCAGACACCACGAATACAAGGCGCCGTCCCCCAGGAAGTATTTGTGTGCATCGAAACCTCGCGTGGGTGTAGCAGGGCTTGCCTACGGGGATTTCAGATCAGAGTCCGACGGGAGCGTCCAGCTAGCCAGCTGTCAGCTACCATCGCTGCGCCTTTTTCCAGAATGAGTAACAGTGATTACTTTTATTGAGCAGTTCTTCAGTGGGAATAAAGCTGCCCAAGGTTGAGAATCAAGTACGGACTTCCATGGTTCACGCTTCTAGCCGCAAAGAGGTCATGCCCTTGGAGCCGAATGAATGCCCAAACCCCCAGCGGGGAGCGTGCCCTATTCCTCATGTGGCCGGAAGAGACCTTGAAAGAGTGAAAGAAATCTCGTGGTGTATCTCCTTGTACCTTCGAGCTGCTCTCATGGTGCCCCAGGAATGACCAGCAAGTCCTCGTCCAGGGGGGGCGTTAGACTTCGTTGATTGCAATGAATGGTGGAGTCTCGGGGTTGCACGGTGCAGCGATGGCAAGCGTCATCGAACCACTGCCCACTGGAAATCTCGGACGGAGAGCTTACATGGCGAGCGGCAAGATCGCTGTCAGTCTGAGCGTGCTTCGGTGCCTCGGACGGACACCTCTGGCCAGGGTTCTCGAATCCATAGCATGGCTTGGCATGAAGATGGAAATGTTGTGACAGTTTGTCATCCTGTCCAACCAGAGGAATATCGTTTCTTCTCGGTTGAGTTGAT